ATGTTGTACAGGCAACGCATGCATCTAGAGGAAGCGTTCAACATGGTTGAGTATCGCCGCCGATAGTTGAAACCTAAGCAATCCTGCTCAAGTCTCTGTGCACCGTACGATCTCCTACCTCTCGCCTGGTGCCAAGTCTCTCAAACCTTCTGAGACTAGGAGCTATCTCTCCGACCCATCCCCCGGCACGCCGGGTTCATATGGGGCTCATTCTGACCTAATCGCTCTCAGGAATATGTTCCGGGCACCGTTGTGGTCCCTGTCCATCTCTACCCCACACCTTCGACAGACGTATAGCTTGCTCCCACCCAGACTGGGATGCAGCCACCCGCACGCCCCGCAGGTCTTGCTGGTGTATGCCTCCGACACTATCATGACCCGCACCCCCCGGCCGGGAGCTCTTTCCACGAGCTTGGTCTTGAACGTCCCGTGTCTCCACTGCATCATGGCCCTCGCCGTCTTGTGGTGCAGCCTTGTGGACATGGAGTGCATGTCGAATGGGGGCAACAGGACCGTCTTGCATTCGCGAAGCAGGTAGGCCACCGTCTGGTCGTCTATCTCGTTCTTCAAGCTCTCTATCTTCGCCTTCAGTTGGTGCATCTTCTGTCGTATCCTGTTCTTGTCCTCGCCACTCAGACGCACAACATGCTGGCCCTGGACTTTCTTCGAAGGCCGATAGTGGTCGAAGAGGGCCATCACGGATGCTTTCGGGTTCCTCTTCAGGTGCTTCTTGGACACCGCGAGCTCTCCCTTGCTCAGAGCCGATATGCACCTGTCCACGTGCCGACAGAGACGCACGATCCTCTGTATGTCCTGATTTTCCACTTCCACGAGCCGCCCGTCCGTCATGTAGATGGTGTGTCGAGTCCGAATCCCCGGGTCGATGGCAGCCACCGGCTTGTCGCCCGCTTGGTTCTCGCGGGTCGACTCGCGCAGCTCTTCGACGCCCTTCGCCGCCTCTTCCGTCGTAGCCTTGGGTCCTTTGTCGTTCATGATGACCATCCAGTAGCGCCCGAGCTGATCCTTCGAGATCTTCAGCTCCCGCCCGTAGCGCTTCCTCAGGTGCCGTGGCTCCGCCACGACCAGCTCTCCGAAATCCTTGACCTTGCGTGGCCAGAACCTGCTCCCCGAAACCGCATTGAAGGCGACCGCGATAGACCAACGCGGGTCTTTCTTCTTCCTGAAGCCCACCTCAAAGTTGCTGATGTTCCCCACTGCCATGTTGCTGAAGGCAGCCTTGTACGCCTCAATGGCATCCTCCACCGCCTGCTGTCTGGTCTCCTTGGGTATCTCTTTCAGGTAGGGGTTCGCTTTCATGAAGTCGCTGTCCTCGGGCACCAGAAAGTTCTTGACGTACACCTTGTCCATCCAAGGGTGACTCGTCCCCTTGTAGTGCACCTCTTCGAACTCGGAGCCATCATCCTCCGCCTTCTTCCTTTTTCTATCCTCAAGCCTGGTCTTCCGCCGTCGCTCTGCCTCCTCGAATGCTTCTACGTTCGCAAACGGGAGACGCCTGTCCCGGATCATGGCCACCGTCTCGTTATACAGTTTCCGGCACCCTCCCACCATCTTCCTCAGGATTAGCCGCTGATGTCCCGTCGGGAAGGCCCTTATCTTCCTGCACCTCGAGGGGAATGCTAGAGCCACCTCCGCTTCTTTTATCGCGCCCCCGCTCTTGTGGACCCCTGTAGCGCCTCTTCCCGTTCCATCGACAAGAGAATACTTGCATGATGGCCAGGATGTCCTCTGTGAACTCCTCGCTCGGTGACTTATCTCGCGTATCGAGAACCACGATCCGTGTCCCTTGACGTTCGAATATCCAGGCCACGAGCTCGAATGCGAAACGGCACAGTCTGTCCTTGCTGGCAACCACCACCTCCGATACTCTGCCCTGTAGGACTCGTTCCAGAATGGATAGCAGTCCTGGTCTCTCGAAGTTGATCCCCGAGCCCACGTCCGAGACACTCTCGTGTCTGGGGAGTTGGTCAGATAGAAACCTCCTCTGTCGCTGCAGGTCGTCGCGCTGCTTGGAGGAGCTGACCCTACAGTAGGCGATGCATGCCCGAGTTTCTTTCTCTTCGAGGCTGGGGATGGAGAAGACGCGGTGGTTGCCTGCGGTGCGCTTGGTGGCGATCTTTCCTTCATTAGCCCATCTACGCGGGGTGCTAGAGGAGACGCCAAAATGGTCCTTAGCTCTCCGAAAGCTACTGTACATGTCGAGAAGAAAGATTTAGAATGAGACGCACATGGTGCCTAATGCCTTCTTTATAGGCCGTGTTTTCTAGTCAATGCTGCAGAAGCTGCAGCAATATATGCCAACGCAGCACGCCAACGCAGCACGCCAACGCAGCAGTATGCCAACGCAGCATCTCGGACGGTATAGACCAGATCCGTATCTCAACTCAGAATATTTCTTTCACGCGACGCTCGGAGATGGATCCGACCACCTCCTATTCCAACGCCGCGGGATCAGCGTCTCGTCGGCAGGAGTGTACGAACGATCATACGCATGCCTGAGGCATCTGGCGAAGTAGTCGTCGCATATGAGCTCGAAGGTGCGCATGCGTTCCTCCATGGCGAGGTCGTTGTGCATCCACATGCGAATATTGTAGAGGCAACGCATGCACCTGGACGAAGCGTCCAACATGATGGAATACTGCCGCCTCCTCTTGGCCAGGCAGAGTGTCTCCTCCCGGATCTTATCGTATGCATCGTCGAACCTCTCGGCATGCTTCTCGAATACATTAGCGTATTTTTCGTGACCAGGGGGTATATCCTGCAACTCCGGAGTCTTTTCCGATTCCTGGGGCTGCACGACTCTCTCCGTATCGCACGATCCTACCACTCCTACAGGGCGCTTGGTCCTTTTCTCCTCCTTCAGGTAGAACCACCACATGACCCCTCCGGTGACGCATGCGAACAAGAGAACGCGGGCTACGACCAAGACGGTAGAAGTAGAGAAGAGATGCATCTTCCTACTGTCATTGGCAATCTTTTTCTTCCTCGGGCAGAGCGAGCCAGATCGTGATCGTCTTCTCATCGGCAGACGTGTAGACGTAGTCGAAGCATCCTGCTGCCCTCAGAGCTCGTCCTAGCTCCCCCATCATCTCGCTTCGGACGCCGTTCCGCAACAGCAGCTTGCTCGGACGGGTGGGTCTGGCGAAGCTCTGGACGAGGCGAGCGAACTCTGCTATATCCCTCCTGCCCAGCAGCGAGATTCCCACGTCGAGCTCTCTCATCCGTCTCCGTAAAGCGTTCCTCAAGCCTGCTACGGAGGTGCAAGCCTGAGGTATGCAAAGTCGCTCGAGACCCTCGATCCGTACCACTCTGGATAGGGCCTCCGCTCCGGCTGCCCAGCCCTCGATGCTGAGATACCGCAACCGGCATCGAGCTGCCTCTAAGAACTCGTGGAGCCGACTCGCGGCACAGAAGAGCGTGGACGCCCCACCGAAAGCGAGCCGCAGCTCCTTCAACGTCCGCGGCACCGCAGCTGCGAAGCGCCCTATGGGGACGCACCCTTGGTAAGGGCCGCCCATAGAGTCTCCGCCGATGTCCACCTCCAGGGCCTCCAGCTTCGGGAACCACCCGAGCAGGAACGTCATGGTCTCGTCGAAGCGCCTCCTCTCGAAACCGTTGCAACCGTCTACTCGGACGTGCAGAGTCAGACGGTAGCACCTGAGGAAGCACAGATTCTCCAGCCTGCGGAGCCTCACGCCCAATCCGTCATGAGCGAGATGCGACGTGCACTCGGCCTCATAGGGTCTCCCCTCGACGAGCCCTTCCTCGAATCCCTTCAACAGAGCCACCGAGTCCGCCAACGGACCCTCCGAACGGATGCGTCTCACGCGCGTCTCCGCCGCTAGGTGCCGTCCGAAGTAAGTGAGTCCCTTGGATCCGCACGAGGAGACCGTCAAGCTCTCTAGGGAGCCGAAAGTGCGAGGAGCCCTGGCGAATGAGGCGACGTCGTCTGCAGAGTGTAGCGCCGTGCTCTTGAGCTCGTTCGCGCAAACGCTCCACTCCACTTGTAGCATATCCTCGTCCGTGACGTTCAAGGTCAGGATGCCATCCGGATGTAGTCGAGTCCAGACGAAGTCTCCGTTGGTGACGGAAGGCATGAGACCCAGCGTCTCCGAGTCGGAAGACCAGTCGTACGCCCAGTGCTCCGGCTCGAAGGAGAGCAGAGCCCGTCGCAATCGCTGCCCGGTAGGGTCGGCCGCCTGGATGACGCTCACGTGGCCCATCGCCCGCGGCAAGGAGCCCTCTATGAAGACATCCCTGTCGCACGCACCGATCACTCTAGACAAGCTGGCCCCGGCCATGCATATCTCGGAAGCACAGCCGTTCCCAAAGACTATCCTTTCCAGCTTCGTAGATGTGGAGAGGTACTCGCTCAAGGCCTCCAGAGACTGCTTGTCGAACATGTAGTCGCGGAACTCTACGGCCCTGGCCGTGCACGTTCTGTCACTGAGACTCCTGATCAGAGGAGCGGCTAGGGAGTTGGTCCTGTCTCTGACGTCCGCGAGACAAGTAGCGACGATGCGCTCTTCGCCGACCGACAGGATGTGCAATCTAGGGTCCATATCCGCGTACCCGTCACTTTTCGTGCGACCTTCCTATATCGCGCCCATGGACCCGATCGGCGTACATCGAAGCGAAGGATTCGATGATCATTACGAGAACGAGGGAGACTTTGTTCTCTGGGCGCCTTCAGAGGAGGAACGCCAGTGCCCTGAGGAACAGGGCATCCCACCGCATGTCAGGGCAATAATTCGATGTGCCACGTCACCACCCAGCAACCGGCAACCGGATCAATTTTCAGAGGCCCTAAGAAAAGGGGTGATCGATCTGATCTTTCTAGATTGGACAGATCGATCTCT